TGGTGGTTTCTGTGGGAAGGAACAGGTAAGGCAGGGCAAGCAGGCTTAGGACTGGCTAGTCTGAATGATTTCAGGGGTTCTGGGGCACAGGAGCTGTCCCTGGCTGTCTGGATCCTGGCACTGGGGTGTTTAGGGATACAATGAGAAAACAGATTCATTCTGCTGGCATGGCTGCTGTGTCACCTGTTACTAAAGGTCCAGGTGAGGTTTCTGATCCCCAAGCGCCCATCCCGAGGTTCCTGAGAAAAGAATGAGTTCTACACCTCACAGCCTGCTGTCCTCTGGCCAGTGGAGCTTTCTCCTTTGCCCTCTGGAAGGCTCTGCTCCCAAATGCTCTGGTGCCCACACCCTGGAGGGAGGATCCAGAAAGCCCTCCCTCCCCCTCCCCCCCCCCCCCCCCCAGCTTCACTGCCCTTCTGCTCTGGCACAGCCTCACCCCTGCCAGTCCCAGCACTGACCCTGCTGGGTCAGAATCACCTGTTTACTTTTCTGTCCCTCCCTCAGCCCTGGCTACACCTTAAAGCTACCACCTGGTAGCTTTAACCCCACGTTCACACCCCCCCCACACCCCGCCCAGCACTTTCTCCTGCGAGATGAGTCAAGTGAGTGCCTCTGCGGGTGGGACCTTGGCATTGGCACCTTTTACGGTTCCTGGGTGACATGCAGCCGTGGCTGAGACGCGCCACCCTAGACCACGATGTCCTCGGCCACAGGGGGTCTGTGTCCTTGGGTCGCCTGTCACAACACCTGGCTTATGGCAGGTCTGCAAAAGTGAAGGAATTACTTTCCTGCATACAGAAGAGGACAGAGCTACAGTTGTCCCTCCGTATCTGCAGGGGATTGGTTCCAGGACCCCCACTGATACTCAAATCTTTGGATGCTCAAGTCCCATGTATGAAATGGTGTACAATTTACATATAACCTGGGCACACCCTTCCATATACTTTTTTTTTTTTTACTTATAAATACCTCATACAATGTAAATGCTATGTAAATAGTTGTAAGTACAATGCGTATGTTATGTAAATAGTTGTCAGCTAGCAGCAAATTCAAGTTTTGCTTTTTGGAACTTTCTGGAGTTTTTTTCCCTGAATGTTTGCCATCTGAGGTTGGTTCAATTCGAGAATGTGAAACCCCAGATAAGAAAGCTGACAGTATATGGTCAGTACATTTTGACCAAGGGTCCTCAGTAGACACTCAGGGCAAAACGCAGGCACTGCCCTTCTGTCTCTGACTCCCGGCTCTTTGCTCATTCTGGGGGACGTCAAGCTCCCACGTGTTAAAGGCCAGCCCCCCACCTGCCCATCTGCTGGATGACTGCGTTAATCTCCGCAGTTCCTCCTCCTCTGTATCCTTCCTTTCGCCATGTCATTTGGCAGTGCTCGACCCCGACCCGGTTGGGTCTTGTGAGTTGCTTTGCCCACTGGGGTGGCAGCAAATGTGATGCAGGTGGTGGCTTAAGTGACTGGGCTTTCCCTGCCTCTGTTTCTGCGATGGCCACGCGAGGTCACACAGGGCTGGCCTGCCAGAAGGTGAGCCATGAGGAGCTGGGCCGACTTGCCCAGTCAATGAGCCAAGGTCACGGTGTACCAGCTGGCAGCCAGGCGACCCCCAGACATGGGAGTGAGCACAGCCAACGTCACCTAGCTGCCTGGCTGACCCTGCAGGACCTCAGTCTTAGGAGCAAGCCCTGCCTACAAGAGCTTAACCCCACAGGCCTGTGAGCTAACTGGATGCTTCTTGTTTATGCCATTAAGCTCATGTGGTTGTTCATCACCCAGCATTATTGTACCAACAGAAAATGAATGCAATCCCTTCCCCTTCCCTCTACAGTTTTAAATTCCCCATTTCCCAGAGCACTTTGCCCTCAGCCCTAAAGCACTCTCAACCCTTCCTCTCACGCTGTGCTACGATGCTACATCCTCCTTCAACTTCATTTTACCTCCAGGTACGGTCTCCCTCTGCTTTTGCCGCTAGCCAAGAGACCCCAAATCTCAGAGTAGAATTAGCGCCCATTCTAGGAGATAAAACCAGTCTGAAAGATCAGGAAGCAGAGCAGACACCGGGGGAGCAGAGACGCTTCTGTGAGAGCCTTGGATTTTGTCTAACCAGCAGATCTTGAACATTTTGAATAAAATATGAATGCATTTATTTAATTATGCTTATAACTCACTGTAAACACAGCCACCAACTTGTCCTCTGAGAAAGCACTTAATGAGATCAATCAGCAAACTCTTTAGATAGAAACACATAGTTATCTGTTTTGTAAGCTGTTTTTTTTTTAATGCATTTAACAGCAGGGTAAGGAGATCTAATGTACAGCATGGTGACGTAGTTAATAATACTGTGTCGTGTGGTTGAAATTTGCTAAGAGGGTAGATCTTAAACGCTCTCACCACTCATACAGTAAGAGCGCAACCTTAAGAGGGGCTGGATACGTTCATTACCTTGTGTTGTTAATTTCACAATGTATATGTGTATTAAATCATCACGTTGTACACCTTTAAAAAACCACATTGTACAACCTAAACATACACAGTTTTTATTTGCCAATCACACCTCAGTAAAGCTGGAGGGGGAAAAAAGGCAACAATGACTAAGTAAGAAAAAAAAGAAAGAAAAGCTGATGAGCATCTATCTCCTGTCATAAATCAGGGGAAGGAAAAACATAGCCAGTCTCCTCTCTTGTCCTTCTCTCCTAGGGGAGAAGATTTGTGTTTTTTGAGAATCCTCTGCTCCCGATTTTCCTTCTGCACTGCCCGAAAAGGCACTCACTGGATGCTAAAGCTGATGGAGGGGAGGGTATCAGCCGTTCACATCTTAGTATGAAATAGTGTTCAGTGCTCTGTCTCGACAGCAAGCTTGATGAAAAAGGAGCTTAGAGAAGAGAGAGGAGGGTTCGAATCCTTGGGGAGTATGTGGGATGCTGCAAAGCCAGAGGGCAGGGTCAGGACACTGTGTAAGGCATGCGGGAGGTGGGGAAGGATGGGGAGATCTGGGAGGAAAGTGGGAAAGGGCTGAGGGGGAGAGGTGAGGACGAGCACAGAAAGGGAGGTAGGAAGGGATGGACGGAGATCCAGGAGCCCAGGAACCAGGGAACCCGGAGAAGGCTGTGTGAGCTCTGACCCGAGGCTGTAGCATCGGGCAGGAACTACGGCGTCAGGCAGGCCCTGGTTAACCCCACAGGCTTGCTGAGTCTCATTTCATCCTAGAGGAAACGGCTGAATTATTCCTACTGCTTGGCGTTCCTGCCTTGATTTTGCTTCTGGAAAGCTGCCCAGGGCCTGAAAGGTCTTTGTCCAAAAGTCTCTCTCAAGTCTCTAGGCTGGGGCTGTGAGGATCCCAGCCAGAACCCTGCCCTCCACACCCCTGGTTTCCAGGACAGCCCTGCCAGGGGTCCTGCATCACCCAGCCTGTGCCTCTTCTCCCTCCACCTCACCTGCTTCTGTGATCTGAGCAGAGAAGGGACAGGAGAGGCTGAGAGCTATAAGCTAATACAAGCCCTCCCGAGCACCTTTATGTCCTGGTGCTGGGACAGTGGCTCATCCTCCCCATCTTGTCTTAGACCTCTGCCACCCTGCAAGGCGGTATTACTTGTTTTGCAACTTGCCTGAAGACACACAGCTAGTTGGGGGACCAGCTGAGACCCAGGTCTGGGGTTCCTGCCTTTTAGATACAAACTGGGGACCTTGATTTGCAGCCTCAGCTCTGCTCAGTTTCCCCCTGGCAACCTAAGGTCATCCTTGACCTTCCATTCGGGAGCACAGGGATTTCACCTCTCTGCCCCAAAGCACTTGGGCTGGTTTCAGCCTCTGGCAGGAGACTGGAGCCCAGATGGTCCCATCCACTACTCCCACTCTGTCTCCCAGTACCAAGGGGTTTATACAACGAGGCAGGATTCCCTGAGACACACTGGTGACACGCACAAGTCCTAGAGGGGCTTCGGGCTGGAGCCACAGCCCCAGCCTGCGGGAGGGAGTGGGGGAGGTAGGTCAGAGGAGCCGTGTAGATGAGACGGCACACTCATCCCTGAAAGATTCAGCAGCACAGCAGAAAAGTCCCCACCTGCTCACTCCAGCCCACAGCCCCAAAAGCCCTTGGGAGATGAGTTCCTGAAGCAACATCGGGGAATTTAGTCTCCAAGACTGCCATGATGGTTGGCTGCAAAGTTGCCTTTCGCATGGACTGCAGGAGACTGTCAGTCATTGCTGGGCTGTGCCCTGGACTTGTCCTGACTTGACTGGGCACCACATCCCTGGGACTGACTCAGAACACAGAGGCCCAGGTTCTCTAAACAGGACGGGGTCTGGCCTCTGATTCTTACCAAGTCCCCCAGGGGATTCCGATAAGACCAGAGTTGGAGAGCCGCTGACATGGAGGCTTCTCCATGGACCAGCAGTGTCAGCCTCAACTGGGAGCTGTTATAAATGTAGAATCCCAGGTCCACCTCACTCCACTGAATCAGTTTAAGAAGATGCCCACACTCCGTACACACATAAAAGCTTGAGAAGCCTGGATGAGGGAAGGCTTAGAGGATTACTGATTACTGATTTCTAGCTTGCCAAGCACACCCTATCGCATTTGATCCCCATGACAATCTGGAAGGTGGGTATCATTTTCCCCATTTTACTGAAGATGACATTGAGGCTTAGAGAGGTGAGTGACATTCCTGAAGCCCCGGGTTCACAGGTCGGAGAGCAGTGCTGGGAGGCTCAGTGATGTCCAACCTTGTATCCCATTCCCATTTCTGCTCTGTTGTCCTCACACCAGGACGTGAACGGTGATGTCTTTAGATATGAAACCATCAAATACGTTGGACTTAACTCACCGCAGCAGGACACAGACCAGAAATTTACACAGGTGCTCATTCACCAAGATTGAAACGAAAGAAGGCTTTCTAGTCAACCCTAAAATCCAACTCACCAGGACCAGGACCAAATTCCCAGAGCCTCGAAGTTCCCACTGAAATAGTCTCTAGAAAGCATTCATAACAGGCTTACCATGTTCATCCAGCAGTATGTTGTCTGGCTTGATGTCTCTGTAAGAGAAAACAAAGAAGTTGAAAATGTGATTTCTGGAGCCTACGGAGGAGCACGTGACAAACATGACAACCGGGGATAAATGCCTGACAACACCTAGAGTGCTTGTCTCTCCCCCGGCATGAGGGCTCAGACAGGGAGCAGAAGAGTGTGTTATGATAGTGGAGCCCCGTGTTCTTGCTTCCCTCCCTTTTCTTTTCCTGGAACTGCAAGTGGATTATTGTGTGAATATTCTTCTCCTCAATATTCTTAACGATTTCTGGCCTCTTGAGTCCCAGGAATGACGGCTCACTGAGCACAGGGTCTCTACTGGTGGGTACAGACACTTACCCTTCCTGATGGAATTGAGCCCTCCCACCTTGCTAGGTACTAAACCTCCCAGGTGTAATGGTCTCTGCTCTATAGACCTGGGAACTGAGGCTCTGGGAGGTTCAGTAACTTGTCCTGGTCATCCTTGTCCACAGCCTCTGCCAGTTTTGGTACAATCTCAGAAGATTTGACATTTATTATAAAGAAGTGAATGGGGCTTGAATTTCTAACATCTGTGATTTTTACATGGAGCTTTGGAAAGTGTATGCACGTTCATGATGATTAAATCAGGGTTGAAGATGTCAATTCAGTTTCTTAAAAGATCACACCCAGCAATCAGCTGGTTTTTGTACAGTCTGTGAGCTAAGAAGGGCTTTTACATTTTTAAAAGATTGTAAAAAACAAAACAAGACACACACACACACATGCACAAAGCAAAAATGAAAAGAAATGTACAACACAGACTGATGTGACCCTCAAAGCCTAAAATATTTATTATCTGGTCCTTCAGAAGTTTGCTGATCCCTTTTGCACACAGCAGGCCATGTGCAGTGAAATCTCAGCTGGGGAGTTTCTGGAAAATTCTGCTCTATGTCATCATTATAGCAAAGGGTTCCCAACTCCAAGCTGTGCTTTTCAAAGGCAGGGGTTTTGCTTTCTTCACTTCTGCACCCCTAGCATGGCGTCTGTCACCAGAAGACACAGTCAAAGAAAAACCAGGACAGTAGTTAAAGCAATAAAGACAGATTTTATTCAGTTGCAATCACCAAAGGGGAAAAGACACCTCAGCACAGAACTGAACACAAGGGGGACAAGTGGGGATTTGTAGCCGAGGAGCAGGTGGGGATTGGTGGATGGAAAGTTACTAAGAGGAGACATCAGAGGTGAGGGGGGTTCAGGATTCCTGCTGATGGCAGGCCAGGGGGATCAAACCACCCGGGGGATGAGCAACACGATCAGAAGATGATCAGGTCGGGAGGATGGGGGATTCTGGCTAAATCAACTTAGCAGGTTCTTGCTAAGACCGGACTATGCAGAGACAACGCAGAAGTACAAAAGACAAGGTTGGGTTTCAGAAGAACTCATCAGAAGACCCTGAGTGGAGTTTTAGGGGGAAAAGAACCTTTGTCAACACACAGGAAACACGGAAGAATGAGTGTGAAAGAAACACAGCCTTGGAGAAACTCAGTGGACAGCTTCAGCTCTGATTTACCCATCATTAACATGCATACACTTTCCAAAGCTTTGTATTAAAGCCATGGGTTTTAGAAATGCAAGCCCCACTCACTCATTTAGAGTAAATGTCAAATCTTTTGAGACTAATGACAGCTTTCTTCGAAATAAAAAGCGATTGCTCCTGAGTTTATCAAATAGCAATTCTACCTGAAAACACACCATGGTTATTTGTAACAATATGAGGTAATGCCTACGGCTTTGGGGGAGAAAGATACACTCATACCGTAGCTTTAAATTTTCATTTGCATTGTGACTTGTGAATACTGATGAGCATTAAGCCAATGGAACCCCAGCTGCCAAGTTCACAGACACAGGTCCCTGGTGAACAGAGATTGGTCGTTAGGGGAGTCCCCAGGGGGAGGATGAACTAGAGAGTTCACACAATTAAAACAAAAGACGGAAGACCTGGAGTCAAGTGTTTGTGGCTCAAATCAGCAAACACTTGGCCCCTGTCTAGGGCCTCTCCCAGGAGGATTTCTCCAGAAGAGGTGAGAGAAGGGAAAATAAATACTTGTCAAGAATGAAAACACAGCAGCAAATATTCAAGAGCATCCTTTCTTTTTTTTTTTTTTTTGCGGTACGCGGGCCTCTCACTGTTGTGGCCTCTCCCGTTGCAGAGCACAGGCTCCAGACGCGCAGGCCCAGCGGCCATGGCTCACAGGCCCAGCCGCTCCACGGCATGTGGGATCCTCCCGGACCGGGGCACGAACCCGTGTCCCCTGCATCAGCAGGCGGACTCTCAACCACTGCACCACCAGGGAAGCCCAAGAGCATCCTTTCTTTAAGGTGTCACTAGAACTGCGATGACCTTGTTTGGGGTGTGCGGATCTCGGAGGAACTGGCCGTGGACCAAGACCATGAGCCCAAAAGGCCTGCAAGGTCCTTGGCCTGAGCTGCCGCCTCCGCTGATGCTGAAATTGCCCTGTTTTGGGGTTTTCTGCCCACCCCGCTCCTTTTCTTCCTTCTTCATCCCTCACTCCCTCCTCTGACTTCTTCCTTTTCCTTCCAGGGCATTCCCGGGATCGCCCTCAAATGCTTCCTCCTGGCAGGTCTGGGCAGAGAGCTGGGGACACAGTCCCTCCCCTCTGGAAGCTCAGAATCAGTGGGAGAGGGAGACACGCAGGTGGGGTGGCACAGAAGCCACGGTGCAGGGAGACTGCTCTGGAGCTTGGGGGGGATGGAACTGGGGCAGCTGGAGAGGGAATGGCCGGCCAGGGAGTCACACGGACCAGTGGGGACCAGGGTGTCAGAGCCAAGAAAAGTTGGGGCAGTGGTGGCCGACCTAAGGAGAGGTGACCTTGTGTAGTAGGGTGAAGAGTGTCCCCCCCAGAATTCATGTCTACTTAGGACCCCAGAAAGTGATATTATTTTGAAACAGGGCCTTTGCAGGTTCAAGGAAAGATGAAATCATCCTGGGTTTGGGGGGTCCTAATGCCTGCCGTCTTAGAAAAGAGATGGAGGTTTGGACACAGACACAAAGCAGAGAAGAGGCCATGTCAAGACATGGGCAGAGACCACAAGCCAAGGAGAACCAGGACCCCCCAGAAGCTGGAAGAGGAAGGAAAGGATTCTCCCCCGGAGCCTCTGGAGAAGGCTGACCCCACTGGCACCTTAATTTCAGTCCTGGCCAGAACCGTGAGGCCACGAATTTGTGTTTTTTTTAAGCCACCAATTCTGTGATAATTTGCTGTAGCAGCCCACAGGAGGCTACACATCTGGCAGAGAAGAAAGAGAGCTAATGAAGGAGGTGGGTACATGTCAAGTGGCAGCCAGCTTCCCCCACTGACCACGGTGTGACCTTGGATAGGCCCACCATCCATCAGAGTCCACATTCTGAAAGGCCTCCATTCATGGTCTCTCATATCATGAGGACCAAACAGGGGCACAGATATCAGTGGCTTGGTAAACTAGACCCCATGGCTCCAAGGAAAGGGGGTGTCCTGCCCAGGCGAATCCTGCTTGGGAGCTGACTGACACCCCGGCGCCTCTCCTGCTATCGGGGTGACCTCCCTGTGCCTTGGCTTCCTTTGTGGTGTGGACTAAATGTCTGACACATGCCTCTGTGTCAGCTCTTAGCACGGAGGGGAGTCAATGGTCCTCAAGCATCTTGGGGACATCCCTTCCATGGTCACTGGGGCTGCAACAGTGAACAAGGCAGACCCAGCAAATGGAGCTCGCTTCTAGGAGGCTGACAGGGGTGAATAAGTGGCAAGACCCCAAGTTGAGACAAGTGCTCTGAAGAGAACAAATCAGGGTCTAGAAAAGAGACCTGCTTTTGGTAGGTGGCCAGGGAAGGACTTTCAGAAGACGTGACATTAGATTGACACGTGAATGACAAGAAACAGTCAGTTAGACGCAACCTGAGAGCAAGCTCTCATCGTGCAGGTGAGTCCACGGAAAGCTGGGAGGTTGAATGGTTTAACCTGTGACATCTGTCCAGCCTAGGGAACAGGACAAAGGTGGTGGGGTCATTCCCATGATTACAGGCTATCAGACTGAGTCCTGCCGGTCTGGAGTGGGAGTGGCCACATGGCAGGGACCTGCGGGCACCTCTAGGAACAGAGTGCCAGCAAGGAAACAGGAGGACTTCATTCCTGTAGCCACAAGGGACTGAATTCTGCCAACAACCAGGAGAGCCTGGGAAAGATCCAGAAAGATCCAGAAAGGAGTGCAGCCCAATGGACACCGGGGTCGAAGCTTTGTGACACCCTGAGCAGAAGAGCCAGCTAAGCTGTGGCCAGACTCCTGACCTGTGGAAACTCTGAGGAAATACATAGATACAAGTGTGTGTTTGTTTTAAGCCGCTCATTTAGTGGAAATTTGTTCCACAGCGACAGAAATCTGTTATGATAGCTGTATGGTCTTGGGCAACGTACTCTGAGCCACACCCTCCTCATCTGGAAAATGGGAATGACGGTCCCTATCTGACAGTTGCTGGGCGTATACACGGAGGTGCTATCACACAAGGCTTAGCAGGGCTCCCAGTGTGTAAGAAGTGCTGAAATAAATAACGATGAGGGTCCTATCTCTGCTCTTTAAAAGGAGCTAGGGAGGCCTCAGGGGTGGATTCTTGAACTTTTAGCAAAGTGAATTAGATCTCTTTCAGAGGAGACTCACCAGGCAGACTCCTGCAAAGCTTCACATAGGAGACGGGAGCCTGATTCATTCGGGATTTAATAAGAATAACATTTTATGGGCAAAGCATCTTATCAGAGCCTCTAGGTTAGTGGGTTCCAGGACCATTTCCTCCGGTTCCACTTTTCACATTGATCATATCTCAGCCCAAGCACGTCATCCTGCTGAAAATGGGCCTGTGTGTTCAGAAAGGGCATTAGAAGCATTGCGAGGACGGGCAAGTCTGCGACAATGTTTTCCGAGGACAGGCCCATAATTTCAGAGCTGGGCAAAATGACACTTTGATAGAAAGTGTGCATGCAAGGCTATAAAACCTGGT